AATCTATAAACAATTCATTAAAACATCATCATTAACCCTTTATAAAACGGAACCTTAATAGCAGGACTGAATCTTCTATAGCAACCCGTCACTAAAGTATCTCAAATGCTTTATATAAAAAATGGTGTTTGCACCCAAGTTACCACACCTTTTGCTCTTTCTATATTTTCACATCAAATAAAAATCATAATAAAATACAGTAGTTCGCTCATAAATTTTACTCAAAAATAAAATTAAAAAACATCCTGTCATTAATTGTGTGATTTAGGGCAAGTCACTTAACCAGCCTGTATCTCATTTCCCCTCATGTATAAAATGAGGATATTAATGCTTAGCTTGATAAAGTGTCTTAGGATCCTGGGATAATATTATTATGAGTGCTTCTTGATTGTTACAATTGACCAATCTCTGCTGTATAGCCAGTGTTGGAGGAGGTGAGAAAATGCTATGGTGCCTTTGATTTCAAAATCATTTTTAGAAATCACAGCTTTCCCTGGTTGGGAAAACATGTCAAAGAATAATGAAAATTCTCATAACACCATCAGATTAGAGGTCTGTTTCTAATTTTGGATTTCTATGAGACTGGTGATATGAGAAATATAATGTGTTGTCTGAACCAATCTAAGCTATTGTACAAACAAGCTGGCACTGTAAGGAAAAATTCTGGATTATGCATATTGAAAGCCTTGATCCATATAGTATCGTCTTGTTTGCGGTTTAGTCGTTTTTGTTGCTGTCACAATGAATGAACATAACAACATATTGTACTGGTCTCTGTATACAATTTTGCTAAAGTAGTATTAATTTGGAATGCCAAAAACAATTTGAAAGTGAATGGATTTCTTTTAGTGTGCCTCACTACAGGGAATACAAAAGGGTGCTCTCATCTGAAATCAGGTGCATTTAAAAAATAGAAAGAGACTAGTGAATAAAAGATCTTCAGCATTGGTCCTGTCCCATTGCAAGCTTTGGGACTCAAATGTATTACATAAGGTACACTGAGTTATGAGATCCAGGTCATATTTGCCTAGAGGACTAGCTATTTTGTGTAATAGCAAAGGTACAGCACAACTAGACATATATTTTGTACATAAAGAGAACTGAGTTTATTTTGGCATTTTGACAAAAAAAAAACTAAATCATTCACCATCACTTCAGTTTCAAGAGTTTTTGTCTCAAGGAAGAGATGGTTATTTATTTTATTTCTACTTTGCAAAAGTGGGAAAAAAGTCAGGGCATTTTGTGATCTGTGTTGCCAGGCTTGCAGAAGGATGGCAAAATGGCTGAGGTTTCTGTGAGACTGCCTGAGAGTCTGCAATGCAATTGCACAATTGTACAAAATCCTAAAATGAGTTCCAGTGTAATGGAGCTGCTAAGTAGGGGACTGCAACTCCCATCAGCCCTCTCCCATTGCATAGCCCTGATTACTGGCCAGGTAAAGAGAAAGGTCCCAAACCAGGAAGTGGCTGGACTGAGTTTGTGAGTGGCAGCTACATGGCAAGCCACAAGCTGGATGCAGAGTAGATTCTCCAGGAACTATAGGCAGATCCTTGTGTAGAACAGGCTGTGACTGCCGGACATCGCAATTGGATGAAGGTGTGTGAGGGACTTATATGGGGAGCAGCAGCAGCAAGGCAGAGAGCTAGTGCAGAGAGGCCACAATGAGAGACATTAACTGAGCCCTTACTTGGAAACCCACAAACTCCTATTTGCTTGACTAGAGACCCAGGCACAAGGCCTGAAGAGCCCCCTCCCCCCTACCCCCCCCCCCCCCACGGGAATCAAACAGCAATTGCCCTTACTCACTGTGAACTATAACTGTGTGACAATGCGGTTCTGGCGGAACCCAACTGAGAGTGTCAACTCAGGACAAATTGCTCAAACAGGGCAGTTATAGCCCAAGGCTGGGGTCTTTTCCACCTCTAAGGCAAACCAAACCAGCCAGACTAGGAGGACTTTGGTCTCACCCCACTGGCTAACCGCAAGTCTCACAAGCAATCTCCTTAGACACTCCAGTTTCCCAGTATTACCACCAGTGCCACTTGTTATGGGGACAAATGGTTATGAAACCGATACCCCAGTAAAAGAAAAAGGTTCTCCTGATCCCAAAGGACCAAGCCCCAGCCCCAGGTCAATATACAAATCAGATCTTACCCACAAATCACGCTGTTGCCAATCCTTTAGAATCTAAAATCTAAAGGTTTATTCATAAAAGGAAAAAGATAGAGATGAGAGTTAGAATTGGTTAAATGGAATCATTTACATACAGTAATGGCGAAGTTCTTGGTTCAGGCTTGTAGCAATGATGGAATAAACTGCAGGTTCAAATCAAGTCTCTGGAGTACATCCCCAGCTGGGATGGGTCCTCAGTCCTTTGTTCAGAGCGTCAGTTTGTAGCAAAGTCCCTCCAGAGGTAAGAAGCAGGATTGAAGACAAGATGGAGATGAGGCATCAGCCGTATATAGTCTTTTCCAGGTGTAAGAACACTTCTTTGTTCTTACTGTGGAAAATTACAGCAAAATGGAGTCTGGAGTCACATGGGCAAGTTCCTGCATACTTTGCTGAGTCTCAAGGCATATTTGCCTTCTCTCAATGGGTCCATTGTATAGTTGATGGTCCTTAATGGGCCATCAAGCAGGCTAGGCAGAGCTAACACCAGTTTGTCTGGGATGTCACCCAGCAGCATAGCATAAGTTTGAAATACAGACAGTATAGAGCCAATATTCATAACTTCAACTACAAAATTGATACACACATATAGACAGCATAATCATAACCAGTAAACCATAACCTTGTCTTAGACACCCCATTTGACCCCCTTTATACAAGATTTGCGTGCTACTACAGGACCTTGGTTGCAACAATGATCTATATGGTCCCAGATTATATCAATAACGTCACAAACTGTTTAAAGTCTCTGTACCTAGGGTATTTGCAACCTTGCCTTTC